TTGAAAAAATACCATAGGTAAATATTGTGTTACTGTGTTGCTGTCCGGCACTAAAACTCAGCTGTCTCTCCAGCAGTTGTAACGCACTATACGATGGGTGTAACACTATACGATGACACCAAACGTGAACATCAGCATTCTTTTTTAATGAAGGAAAAATGAAAGGATATCACAGCCAGTAATGACCTCACGTTAGCAACTAATAGAATATTATCAATCAATAACTGCTTTATAGACTGATACATAGTTTGCGATTGAAGAGTGAATGCACCATAATTATTACCTATGCTAGATTGGAAAATCTTGATGATAGTCCACCTTTTTACTCAGTGGTCTCGCTGATGTATGTCATATTTATTTACCTACGGCATTTTTTCAAATCAATATCATGTCAACCAACTAGCCTGTTTTGCTGTTTCTTAATTGATTCTTGTTCATTGTGAGTTGCGTTCTGTAATCACTTGTCATTGAAGTTAGCGCGTTATTCTTGCTTTTAAAGTGTTTCTGTGAGATTACAAGGGTATACATTCTTACTTTATTTGTTTCAATTGCATTTTACTGTAGCTCTGTCTCCCTGCTATGTACATCACAATCATTCTCAATTCTACATTGTACAAGAGGTCCCCTTGCAGTATCTGGCTATGGGACCTCTTTCTGTATATCATGCACATGTATTCTTCTTCATTCAGCACAATAAACAAAATGTTCTGCATCACTTTTTTTTTTCTTGGCTACAGCATGATTAGTGTTCTCGCCGTTGCCATATTTACACATACATCAGCGAGACTATTGAGAAAAAAGGTGGACTATCATCAAGATTTTCCTATCTAATATATGTAATAATTATGGTGCATTCACTCGTCAATTGCAAAATCAAGCTCTGAATTATGACAATATCCGGGCGCGATAGGAAGCACTACATACTTGAGATGTACACGTAAATAAACAGTGTGGGTTTGAAATTGCTTTTAAGGTGAGCATGTTAGCCCTTACATCGTACGCCAACGACCCCCTTCGATAGCTGCTTTATTGGTGCACAGGCCTTCGACACATATATCAACCACGCGGAGATCGTTGCACATTCGACTATCTGTTGCATAAAGTACTTGTAATGTGCGCAATAAAACTATGAAATTTACTTTCACATGTCGCAATGAAATCTCACAAGATGATGTGTTACAGAAATAATTTATCTATTGCTATTTTTAATATATCAAGGCGATCGAAATGTGCCGAAAACACAGACAAATACACAATAGTTTTAGGTGTAGCAAATTTTTTTATAAAACAGGCGATGCTGCATAATCTGAAGTTGTGAACCTCATGAATTAATAATTACCAGGTAGTAGAGCAAAAACAACAAGGGCACGCTGTCTCTTGAAGCTGCCATTGCTTGAAGAAGAGTTTACGAAACTATGCTGGGTATCTTATAAAATAAGACGCCTGCAATTAGATGCCAGCAAATTAGATGCTAATACTAAATTACAAAAAGGTCTACAAAAGCTGCTCCTCCAGCTTACGCTGTAACTGTGCTGTCCGTTCCGAGCGTCTGGTGTTTTTTTTTTTCTATAGAACTATGCTCAGCTCCTTATGTACATTTACGCCAAGAAGAAGCGCTACGAAGAAATAGGAAAGCGAAACAGCTTCCACAAGGGATATCTGGACAGTACAATTTCGGAGCTTTTACTATGTGGTTGCCAAGCATATTCCTTTCCTACACCATGACTAGTGTATTGAACATATTATTTATTATTACTAATTATTTATAATTACTGCAATCATCATTTGGTGATTTCAGCAGGGTGGTACATATACTTAGTATTGACAAAAACATGACAAAAAAACTGATGCAGAAAAGTAAGCAGAGCAACAGTCGGAACTGAAACTACTTTGGTAGCTTCTGTAAGAGTCGAGTAACGCGTTTTTAAGAGTAGTTCATCCTTCAGCCCCACCAATTTATTGACCGCCCCACCACAGTGGTCTAGTGGCTAAGGTACTCGGCTGCTAAATCGCATGTCGCGGGATCGAATCCCGGCTGCGGCGGCGGCATTTTCGATGGAGGCGGAAATCTTGTAAGCCCGTGTGCTCAGATTTGGGTTAACGTTCAAGAACCTCAGGTGGTGGAAATTTCCGGAGCCCTCCACTACGGCATCTCTCATGGTTTTGAGACGTTAAACCCCACATATATATCAATCTATTTATTGGCCACCAGAATTAACTGCATAATCTACGCGAAAATACGTGCGCACGATGCGGTCAAGTATACAAAAGTATTTCAGGAGATATCTTTGCACCATTGAAATCATTTAAATTCTACGAGCTCTGTTATGCCTTTTCAATACATCGTAGAAAAAAATGTAGCCTTTGTAATCAAAACTTTGCTGACAATGCGAGAATTACTTACGTTCAGTACACATGACACAAGATGCAATTGGTGCACATCGTGCTCAACATAGAAGGCAGAAAGAAAACAAGAGGTGGCTTGACGTGACACTCTTCAAGCCCCGCCATAAAAAAATTAAACTGGGACATGCTGACAATATATCAACAGCATGAAGCACGAGGGTATCGGCGTCTGATGAAATTGAATTGTGGACAAAATAGACACGCTCTCTTCTACGTATTGTTTCCTTTGTGGTGCTGAACGCTATGTGCTACAGCCAACCTTGAGAAACTTGTTCTCGGGTCAAAACAAACCTCGCTTGTGTTTTATAAGGCTATTAACCTAACATGGCCAAAAGCAGCGTGCTTTCAAAGAGAATAGCAGAATGTAAAAACCTATATGTTCAACAAATGAATCCCAGTGTCCAGTATAGTGGACATGGTTCTCCTGTGAAAATCGTTGTACTAACATCTTTCTTAATTTTTGCCTGCTTTTCAATAGCATATTAGCTAAAAAAAAGAAGATTTAAAACTTTGTTCTGCCCTAGAAGAAGTTCGGGACAGCAAAGAATATGGCTTAGCCATAAATTAAGTATTGAACCTAATATTATGAATACTATTACCTACGACGAGAAACAAACTAAAGAATTTAATGCAGTTGGTCGTAGCTTCTTCGTATATAAATTATCTATGACTATATATTAAAACTGTGAGGACTCTAATTCAACCAAGCCAAAGAAACACAGAAGACCTCAGTCTAAAAAACCGTTCATTGCCGGTCCGGAGCATGTTCGCGTGCTCCACACGGGCCGGCGTTTAAACGGTGCGGGTAGGAATGCGATGGCAGCGGGGCGCTATTCTTTGGTTACCACAATGAGGGGCGGGCGAGAACAGGTTGAAGAGCGAAACCATTTCCGTAGGGAACTCGTCAGCGTCGTGGTGGGAGGAGAAAAAAGCGAGCGGGGGGAAGGGTTCAACTTCATGCGGCACGTGGTGCCGCATCCACATCGGGGGGCAGGACACCACTGTGGCCAGCATCTACGTTCGGCCGGGCCAGCCCTGGGACCCCAGATGCCTCCGTCAGCTGGCGCATCGCCCGGGCAGGGAGTTCCTGCTTTGCGGGGACGTCAATGCGAAACACCCAGCATGGGGCGGCTGCAGGACTGACGCTCGAGGCAGAGAGGTGCGTGATGCCCTCCGGCAGCTGGGGCTGACGATCCTCAACTCGGGTGCCAACACCTTCCTCCGTCGTGGGCAGCAGGCCACCAGCACTGCCATAGATCTCAGCGTGGCCACGGAGGGTTGCCAGTATGCCTGGTCGCCATTCCCGGACACCTGGGGCTCGGACCACCTGCCCATCCTGCTGTCTCCCTTCAGAGGTAGGGCTCCACGGGACCGCGAGTACCGCGTGGTGGATTGGCAGGTCTACCGGCGACTACTCAAGCAGGACACGAGCAGCGGGGGCCTCCTGCAACTGGTGGCCCACAGTGCGAGGGCAGCAACAGTCACTGCCAAGGTCCAGCAGGGACAGCCCGTCCCAGACATCCGGCACCTGGCTCTGAGGGCGGCACGGCGACGTGCAGAGCGGCAAGCCCTGAACAAGGGCCAACCGGAGCTCTGGACGGTCTTCCGGCGAATGGATGCCGTCTGCAGACGCCACGCACGCAGGCGCCGGAACCAGGGCTGAAACGTGTGCGTCTTGATCAACAGCTCACGTGATGGGACCAAGGCCTGGTGCCTGCTGAAGTGCCTGCTGATGGCGCCCCGGGCCTTGAACCAGGGACTGTCCCTGGCTGTTCACCTGTCGATCACGGCTGCGAACCTGGCAGAACGGCAGGCTGACCAGTTTGCTGCCAGAGACAGAGCCCCACTGCCTGCTGCACCACCGCCTGCTGCCCTCCCTTGCCCTACCTCCTGTCATCATCCCAGATGGGTGTCCGCGCAGGTGCGGGAGCTGTGCGAAGAGCCCATAGCGATACACGAGCTGGTGGCAGCTCTCGAGAGGACCAGGCGACGAAGTGCTCCAGGGGCCGACGGCATCACCTTCCAAATGCTCCGCAACCTGGATGGAGGTGGTCGTCAACGACTCCTGGAGTACTACAACGACGTCTGGTGCACCGGAGTCTTACCCGAGTCCTGGCGAACTGCGGTGGTGGCGCAATTCTGAAGCCCCGGAGGAAGGCCACGGCTCTCTCCTCATACCGGCCAGTCTCTCTCACCTCCGCGCCCTGCAAGGTGATGAAGAGGGTGGCTCTGGAGAGACTGGAGTGGATTGCCGACCACCTGGGCTTCTTCCCAGAGCAGCAGACGGGCTTTAGGCGACACCGGTGCACGGTAGATTCGATCTCAGACGTCGTCGCTACCCTCGAGGACGCCAGGAGCAGTGGGGACGTGGCCATACTGCTGCTGCTGGACGTGGAGAGTGCCTTCGACGGACTCCCACACGTGGCGATCGAGGCGGCCCTGGACCGCCTCCGAGCGGTAGCCTCCGAGGCTTCGTGACCACCTTCCTGTCCGAGAGGACCTTCCGTGTCCGTGTTGGAGGGGCAACCAGCCAACCCAGGGTCATCACTGCTGGTGTCCCACAGGGTTCAGTACTGATCCCCTTCCTTTTTAACATGACACTAGCAGGACTTCCGGCGTCCCTCTCAACAGATACCAGGTTCCCGGCCCGCTGCTCTGTCTACGCAGATGACGTGGCACTCTGGGTCCGGGGACCAAGGCGTTCCATCCCAGCCATCAGGAGATCACTGCAGGCGGTCCTCGATGCAGTGATAACCTACCTCGGAGGCATCGGGCTTAAGGTCTCTGCCACCAAGACCGAGGCCCTGCTGATTCACCCGCTGGCGGCAGCTCGCACCCACGTGAGACGGCTGAGGATTGGCAATCGCAGCCTGCCTTGGAGGTTGGTGGTTAAGTACCTGGGGCTCACCATCGACCACCGACTCACCTGGATCCCGGCTGCCAAGGCTGCTGCCACCAAGGTGCGGCGCGTCCAGGGTGCCATCAGCAGGCTGCAGCTGCGTGGCCGCGGCTGCTCCAACAAGTGGGCCCTCCGGCTCAACCAGGCTGCGGCGTCCTCGGTCCTCCTGTACGCCTTCCCACTGGTGAACCTGACACCGGCAAGGAGAGGCCTGCTGGAGGGACTCCACAGGGGTGCACTGAGGGCCATCCTGGGGCTCCCCAAAAGCTCGCCGGTGGCAGCGACTCTCGCGGAGGCAGGAGGGTGGCCGCTGACGTTACGTATGCTCCAATGTGCGCTGGGCCACATTGACCGCCTTCACCGCGCCACCGACGGCAGGGCCCTCCTGGAGCGTCTCCGCAGTCAGCCAGGATCACGGATGGGAGGCCTCTGCCTGCTGTACCACCAGATGGTTCCAGACCCGCCAGTCCCGGTTGCCTCTCCACCGCCTCACCACCAGCCACCAGAGGTCCACCTCTGCTTGGAAGGGGCAACCAAGCGACGGACGCCTGCGGCCGCACTGCAACAGGCGGCCTCCTGCAAGCTCCAGGAACAACTGGAGGAACGGCTGCAGGTGTTCACGGACGGATCTGTGATGCCAGATGGGACCGCAGCGGCTGCATGCGTAATCCCGTCCAGAGCCAACAGCAGGCAGTGCAGGCTACCCTTCGCGGCGAGCTCCACGGCTGCGGAACTGGCTGGACTGCATCTCGCGGTAGACCTGTTGGCTGAGGATATCCCCCTTGAGCCGGCCGCGGTCCTGTGTGACAGCAAGGCGGCCCTGCAGACCCTGGCCAACTCCCGCCCTGCCGGACTGACGGCCTGCCTCCTGGCAGCCAAGGTTCGGGCCATCACCGACGCCGGGGTGTCCGTCTCCTTCCACTGGCTGCCCTCCCACGTGGGCATCGCCGGCAACGAGTAGGCGGACACACTCGCCAGGGCTGCCCACCAGCCTGGTACTCCCTACTCCTGTGCTGTGGTGGCCAGGGACTATTCACAGGCCCGCCTCAAGAGGCTCCTCGTCACAGTCCACCCAGACCCGAGGGTGGCCAGCGAGCGAGGACCAAAGCCTCTCCCAGAGACGGGCCTCACCAGGAGAGAACGGACCTCCCTGTTACGACTGCGGACTGGCTGCGTGTGGACGGCGGCCCGCCGCCACGCCAAGGGCCTCTGTCCCTCCCCGGCCTGCAGCCATTGTGGAGACCCAGAGACCCTCAAACACCTCCTCTGTGCCTGCCCTGGCTTAGCACAGGAACACTTGAGGGCCTACAGGAGACAGGGTCTGCCCTTCTCCACCCTGGAAGACCTGCTGGTCCCGTCTCGTCCACATCCAGCAGCACTCCGCAGCCTGGCGGAGTTCGTGGAGGAGTCAGGAATTGCTGCCTACTGCTGATCACAGGAGCCCTGCGGCCCTTGCCCTTGCCGATGGCCTGCTGCTCGCGCTGAAGCGGACCAGACATCCCTCCTTACACACCACACACTATTTCTCCTATCCTCTTTCATCCCCCTCCACCCCACCCCAAAAGCACTGCGCCGTGTCGCCTGTAGGCAGACAGAAATTAGGTGCCTTCTTCCTTTTCCTCATGAACCACTAACAACAACAACTAGCCGCTCGTGAGCCGAAATCCTGGCCTCGGACATCGAGATAGCTGCAGAGTGCACAGCCCGCCACTTAAATGAACGCGCACCGCCACGAGATCCAGCACCGGACTGGTGAAGAGCGAGCACACCTTGGCAGACATTTCTGGTAATTCCGGATGCCTACAGCAAATGGGTTCAAATTCGCCACGTGAACAAAACAACATCGACAGCTGCCATCAATTTCCTGCGGTTGTTCGAAACATTCCGATTACCCCACAAGGTAGTTTCAAACAACGGAATCGCATTTGTGTCAGCAAAATACAGAAATCCTAAGAGTGACAACTGCATCACAGTGGTGAAATGTGCTCCGAACTACTCAGCTACAAAAGGACAGACCAAACGCTGTGTGGTAGAGCTAAAACGTGCTCATGCAAGAGACTCTACTACGAGGTCATTACAGTGGCGCATTGCATGTTTTTTTTTTCAAGCAACTTACAACGGGTGAGACGGGCCAAGTACCGGAGAATCTCATGTTTTATTGCGAGCTGCGAACACACATCTCAGCCCTTCTACCAGAGCCGCCTTCAAAGGTCATACCAGGTAAAAAAGACGCCTCGCGTTGCTGGAAACTCCACAAAGGACAACTAGTGGTCGCCCGCCATTTTCACAGAATGCCTGAATGGACGGCGGCCATCGTAAAAAAAAGAAAGAAAAGTCTCAGCCGGAGATATCGGCTTGTTGAATTTAAAGCCCCGCCATCGCGTCTTCTACCAGAAAACGCATGGGGGGGGGGCTATAGACCGGAAATTCCCGCCCCCATCCTGTCGCCGACAAGCTCTCGCCTGTGTTGCCCCATCCTCGGACTCCTGCAACCGTGTCCATCTTTCCTATCTTCTCCTTACTTCCGTCGCTCCCCGTCCCTGCGCCTCGCTTCTCCTCCCTCTCTCTCTATGTCTCTACCTTTTGATCCTATCCTTTTATTCCCTTCTCTACCCCCATCTCTCGTGAGCTACTGTTGTGGTGTCCTCCCCCTGGGAGAGAGGTACGGGGCTCACTTTTCTTTTCAGTTATAATCACTCCTCCCTCCCCCTTCCAGCCAGTTTCAAGGATGTGCCCTGCCCCCCCCCCCCCCCCCCCCACGATTCATGACGCCGCGCGCCCGGAGACTGACTGACTGTCGGGGCAATCAGTGCGCCTGCGCACTGGTTGCCTATCCTTTGTGCTCCTCGCCCCTTTTATGGCCCACAGCGGACTCGAAAGCCAGCGCTCGGACAATTTGGACTGTGCTGCGCGCAAATGCCTTTCTTGAAAGTAATAAACTCAGTTCTCTGTTACGTACGCTTGTTATTCCGGCTACCTTGGACATAACGCAGTGCAAATAAGGTTATTTGTTCTTAAAAAATTTAACCTCCCCACCTTTCAGAGTTATACCTCTTTCTTCTAACTTACTTCCCTTAATATTTTTTATATCGTTAAATTGGAGAGTTCCATATTTAAAAAGAGGAAGTGGATTTATTTATTTAGAGATTTGTAATTTTTAGAGAAAACTGCCAGTCTAATGCCGGACTTTGGGCAGGGGTGTGTGACGCAGTGGACGCAACATTGTGTAGGAGGTACAGCAGGATAGATAGTGTTGAATGAAAGCGCGAAAATTCAAAATGAAAAAAGAGAAGCGACATGAAATACGGTCCACAATCCCAAGAATGGCCATAATACACTAAACAATACAAAAACTATAAAAACAGTGCCCACTAGGCTATGTTGTTTGGGCAAAACGTAAAAAGAACTCAAATACCAACTGTAGCAAAAATAAAGTCGGCAATATTAAGAAGCGAGACAATGCAGAATCGAAGCATTAAAGAATCGTTCAGAAGCGAGGCATTGAACCTCAATCAATCTGTCTGATCAAGGTGGGTATTAAAATGAAGCGCACTGTAATATGTATAAAGGTGTAGTTATGAGCCATGTGAAACAGCTAACGCACGAAGAAACTAGTTGAGATCGACACTTTCAAGAATTTTTGGTGGTAAATTGTTCCACTCTCTGCTTGTGCGAAAAAAAAAAGGATGCCTGTATATAGGGGCTCAGTCACTCTTTCAAGATTGGAGGCACGTATTTCGTGGCGCAAAATTGGTTTGGTATAGTTAGTTTTTTGTATTGCCAGGTTATTATTATATGTGAGATAGAACAGCTTCGTTATTTCGCGATTCTCCATTCCAGGGTTTCTAGTTTAGTGCTCTCCAGAAAAAAACTGACGGAGATGTGTTACTTTTAGGCATTGAATATGAATTTTACAGCTTTTCGCTGTATTGATTCAAGTTTATCTGTGTTAGCTTGCGTGTGCGGGTCCAAGACAGTCGATGAATATTCTTGTATTGGTAATACGTACGTTTCACATGCAGTCATTTAGGTTCGCCGGATGCCTTAGCGAGTGCCCGTTTTGGGTAGCTTAGTATTTTCAAAGCCCTTTTCTCAGTATACGACACAGGTTCGTTTCATCTTAAATCAGATGTGATGATGAGACCAAGGTGCGTATACTGCGAGACAAAGGACAAGAATCGATTGCCTAGGTTGTATTGGATATTTAATGGATCCATTTTGCGGGTTATGGTTATCGCCCCATTTTTTCCCGCGGTAAAGGTAATCTGCCATTTTGTGCACCAAACTTGAATCTTAGATAAAAAGTTATTTAAAATGACCTACTCACTGGCAGCGTTGACTACTTTAAAGCACACAGGCATCTGCGAAAAGCTTTAGATTTGCTGGGGTATCACGGGTGGCATTATTGATATAAGCCGAAAAGGAAAGAGGCCCGAAGGAGTCCCTGAGGTATGCCGGATTTAAGCGGCGCGGACGGCGAGTTGATACCCTCGTCCGTAATATCGCGCCCGGTGAATATTGATCGCAATTTCAAAACCTGACTTGAGATGCCATAGTTTATTAGTACTTATTAAGTAATTAGTCCATAACTATAACTTCCAAGTAACTTGTAAAACTCGAGAATGTGCTGTAAATTGAGGCCTCTATATGGAACATACACTAAATGTTCGAAAACGTGCACTTCGTCCTTTTTAACATTACCCTGTTGATGTGCTATACTATCAATCTTTACCTCAATGAACCCTAAATATTTTTTAGCGGGGTCATAAGAGTGCCTTCCATAGGAATCCTTTTTTTTCACGCGTACCCTATTTCAAACTTTACGTGGCACCGTAGAGTACACCATTTCAACGATAGATGAAGCTACTAGGGCCTGACAGCTCTCACTCCCCGAACAAAACTGGCCAGGGAAGTTTTTTTTACCACGCGATTCAAACACGCTCTATACCATCATGAACTAGACATATGCCAGTACCTAAATAATAGAAAGCAATTGGATATCTTCAAGCACGGCTCCACGGTAGCGATTCAAAATGCGGTAAAACAGCCGATATTTTCGAGAGCGCCCATAGGCGCTGTGCATTATGTTTTAATAAGCTGGGGAACTCGCACTATTACAACCACGATACTATAACTCCGGCAAAAGAAAGATTCATACAGTTGCTACTTGAATCCGGGAAGCAATGAGAAAATCAGAAAGGAAGAGGAGTTACTATCGTTTTGCTCTCCGGTCCCATAGAGTGACGCGGGGCACCGCCCACACCATGCGGGAAAGCGCGCCTCCTGCTCGTGGGCCTGAATCCTGGGGACGAGCCGTAAATGGCCAATTATCTTTCTTGTACTAAGTGACTCACGAAGTCCCTCAAGGGTCGGTTTTAGGCCCACTGTTATCTTTATTTACGTTAACGACGTTTCTTTTGCAATTCGTTATTCTTCTTTTCTTTTCTATGCTAATGAAACCAACATATTCAAAGAAATTCATTCAGTGAACAACTGTCGTTTTCTTCAGTCAGATTTGTGTTCTTTCTCTGAATGGTGGGATAACAGTAACATTCTCTGATTACCTCAAAGACTAAATTCATGAGTATATCTCGCAAAACATTCACCGTGTCATTTCCATACTCTGTCAATACCATGATTTTATGTAAGGTATATAAATTCAGTGATATTTGTGATATTTTTGACAACCTGCTAAACTTTTCTCCTCACACTAAACGTGCTGTCATATGTGGCAATTTTTTATGTATTTCTTTCATTTACAAGTACGTTACAGGCCTCGCAGAGGCATTGTGTAAGGGTGGTCGATACAATGTAATAACAAATTGGGTTAACAAGTAAGTAAGAACAATGTAGTACGTCAACAACAGCAAAAATATGTCCAAGTACAGAAGTAGTCGTATGTATTCCACATGAATAGGTAAGTTTAAAACATCTAAAATAAATGCAATAGCGTGTTGGACAGATCAAAATGAAGCGAAATGAAACAGGCTACGCAGTTTACCATGCTGGTTTGGGTTAATAAACAAAACTTTAAACAACAGCTTCCCTGTGATGATGAAAATAAAAGGAAAAAGGGTATACATGAATCCCGGGAGTAAGTGGATTAGCTAAGCATTATTAGTGAAATGGTTAGAAGATGCACGCGAAATTTATTGTGATTACGCTGGAGGGCGATGCTGTTTGGAAGATCATTCCACAGTCGTAGGTTTTCAGTTGCCGCGGAGTCCGCCAGGGGGCTCGAAGTAGTGCAGATGCGCTCGTTTCGCGCTCTGGATTCTCATGGTTTTTAGTGGTGTTTTCCGTCTGCAACCACTCGAAAACGTTACTATCAGCTTCAAGAAGTTCCGAGGAACGCCTGGGCACCACTCAAGAGGATTTCTTGCCACTTGGAGGTGCCAAAGGACTTCAGAAAGCTCGTCACCCCTAGGACGC